TTATGTGGTGAGAGAAATTCTGGCTATCACTGGTCTCTGACCGAGGGCTCCGCTTCCGATCTCAGCCCTTTTAAGGGGAGTCTGGCTTCACTCTTCTCAGGTGGGAATCGGCTCTCTTGGACACCCAACCCCGCAGAAACTTTGGGGACACCCTATTCTGAAAAAAACCAAAACCCACCAATTTTTGTTATTTTGTTTGTTAGCAGATGAGTTCTGAAACCTCCCTGCCTGGACTTGACTGCCTGAGGGGGAATCAACGGGATTCCCTGTGGATTTCTTGCTTCTGTGTAAAAAAAATGCCCTAAGAACTGGCTCGTTGCTTGATCTCCTGGCCCTCAGGATCCACCCTTGTTTTGGAAAGAAGGGGTGGAGTGGGGGAGGTTAGATGCAGGGGGACCCAGAGAAAGGGTGGGTGGGAGGAGCAGAGCAGGGAGATTGCAGCCTGGGGGTGTTGCAAGAAAATGGTCCTCTTGTCTGCACCCCAGATGGGACACACTCTCGCCCCATGCCTCACGGGTCCCATCATCAACCGTGAAGAAAGTTTGTCGGAAATCCTGACATCAGCATTCTTTGAGGCAGGAATTCAAGGAATGACTTGTTCAAGGTACCCTTAAAAAAGGTCTAAGGAGAGCAAAAAAAATAAAAATAAAAATTACAAGGCCTTTTTGGGGGGGGGGCATCTGGATAAACTCTTTACTCATTGTATTACCCAGAGCACAGACAGAATTCTCTCAAGCTACCCGCCCCCCAGCTCCCCAGGTCCTGAAGCAGACTCCTGTCCTCTGAAGAGGCCCATGGCCCCAGAGACTGGCAAAACGTCAGGAAGAACAACCTCCAGAACACGGCCAGAGAGCCCGAAAAACCCACAACCACCACCTTTTCTCAGTGTTTTACAGAAATAACAGAAGCAGTTTGGAAAGACAGATTTTTCGGGGGTGGGGGGGAGAGGAGAGAGAGATTATTTCTCCTACTTGAGGAGCCTCTTTGTGATTCTGACCGCCTGATCCTTCCTGAGGAGGCTGGCTGAGGGACGGGCAGAGACAGGAATCAAACCGCTGAGGATTCATCCCTTAACAGAGGAAGGAGCAGAAGGGAGTGACTTTTTCCCTATAAGATGGAGGCAGAGGTCACGGGGGTGGGGGGGAGAGGAGAGAGAGATTATTTCTCCTACTTGAGGAGCCTCTTTGTGATTCTGACCGCCTGATCCTTCCTGAGGAGGCTGGCTGAGGGACGGGCAGAGACAGGAATCAAACCGCTGAGGATTCATCCCTTAACAGAGGAAGGAGCAGAAGGGAGTGACTTTTTCCCTATAAGATGGAGGCAGAGGTCAATGTTTTAGAGCAGGGGTGTCCAACCTTTCACCTTCCCTGGGCCACATTAGAAGATGAAAATTTGGTTTGGGCCGCATGGGGGGGCAGCCCTAGCCGTCCTCCGCAGCCCCGCTCGCTCCAAGCGCGCTTACCGGCAGCTGCGATCTCAGACAGCAGAGGCTGCCAGCTTCGACTCCGGTGGCTTTATGGGGCCGGGAGGGGGTCCACGTATTGATGGGGATGGCACAATGCAGTCATGCAGCCCCCCTCTCCCCTCTCCTCTCGCTCCTTCCTTCCTTCCCTCTCCCCCCTCCCACCGTTGTGACGTGCCCTGGCTGCAAGTGCCGG